GCTTATTCAAGCACACTGTTTAGTAACCTAAGCACTTTGTTTGGAGGCAGCCATTAAACATTGTAATTCACTATGTGGCAAAAATACTTTATGTATGTTTAACCATTTTTTCCAACAGAATATCAAAAGGATCTTTCTTGGGGCTGGGTATGCAGGTCACTGGTAGAATACTTGACCAGCATATATAAGGTCCTTGGTTTGATCCCAGCATTGCCAAAGGCACAAGAGACAAACATAAAAATAAAAATAAAAAAAATGTATCTTCAGGTGCTGAGATTTAATAAAATTAAGTTTACTGATTATTCAAGGATATTCTTACATGGCTTTTTTTTCTAAGTGGATTTTTTTTTTCCTACTGATGGTGATTTGAATTGAAAAATACAGTGATTAATATTGTAAGTTGGTGACATTTTCTTGCTCTAAGTTGCCATTGATTTTAAGATTTTTAATTTTAGCGTTATAAAAATAGTTTTAATATTGTGCACCCCCCCATCCATGGACCATACTTTGAAATGTTTGAGTTTAAATCATAAAAGGAATTCCCAGCAATCTTTTATCTGTTTTTGCTCAGACTTTTGATAAAGTTTTACTAAAAAACAAAACAAAACAAAAACAAGTTTATTTAAAAAAAAGAACTACTGGGAGGCCCAGGCTGGAAAATCATACCTTTGAGCCCAGTTTGTGCAGTACAGCAATTTAAGAAGAACCTGTTTCCAAAAGAGGTGTGTCTGTGTGTGTGTATGTGTAGGGGTCTTAGCTTTGTGTGAAGGTCCTGGGTTCCATCCCCAATACCTCAGAACAACAAGACAAACAGAAAAGCCCCAAATCAAAGTTAAGAACAGTAAAAGCTATAACAGAAAGTTGAGAGATTTCTGATGGTGTTAGGTGCTGAGGCAAGGGGATTGTAGTATTAATAATTTGAATTGGAATAATCTAAAAACGAAATCATTTAGTAGTACATGTCTATTTAAATTCAAGCCTAAATTTTTAGGAATTTAGGAATTATAAATATTGAAGAATATTGAACCAAATCTAGCCTATAAGCTAGAAAAAAACTCCTTGGCTCTCCTTTTAATCTCTTTTTCTCTTTCGCTTTATCCAGGCTGAGGATGAGTCAACCTAAAAGTGGTGCTCTGCATTTACTGTCTGTATCTCACATGTTTTCTTATGGGTATCATAATTTAAGGTTTGAAAACTGTAATGTACAGGTTACAGTGAGAATAAAAATAGTAGTAAGGTTAATAAAAGGTATCAATGTAAAATAACTACCCTGCTTTAAAGGAAATGAGACAAGAGTTTCTTCTTAGACAAATGTGAGGTACAATCGCCTAGGCATAGAGATTCATGTTATCCCGAATGACATGTTCCACTATGAAAGAGGTTGCATGAACTTTATAGTCACAGAAAAATAGTCACAAATCTATACATTTAGCAGTTAACACGGTGTGAGCACAGCAGAGTGGAGGAATTGCTTCTAAAGATTTCCGATTCTATAGTGTGTAGCTTTCTGTAGGCTAGAGGTGAGCGGAGTTTGGTGATACTGTTAGTGAGGGTGAGATACAGAAGTGAAGGTAATTCGCTCTTTGATGGACTGAGATAGCCCAGGATAGCTTTGGCCACACCTACAACGCTGCGTCTCTCCAGTCAATTTGTTCTCTGGTCAACAGGGAGAGCAGTCTGGAGGAGGTGACTTCTTCAGAGAATGTCATTTCAAAAGCTTCGTGACAGGATAAGGTTAAAAATCTGGAAACTACCTACATAGAGTTTAATGAACTAAGAAGGATATTCTTGTTATTTGAGGTGGCTTCTCACTGTGTTGCTCAGGCTGACCTTGGGCTCCTGGTCTTGCTGGGATGACAGGTGTATGGCACTGTGTTGGCCAAAAGAATATTTTTGACAACAGCTCTTTAGATTTATCAATTTATGGTAGGTACACTTTCTAGATTTTTTTCCTTTGGTGAAAACTAATTTCTCTTCATTTCATTTCATTACTTCTAATTTTTATTTACATTTGAAACTTATTTTTTCCTAATTTTAACATAAGATTTGTATTTTGATTTTTTAAAAATTATTTAAAAATTGTGATAAAGCATCATAATATAGAATTTAGCATTTTAATTTTGGGGGTGTACCCAGGATCAAACTTGGGACCTTGCACCTTGCGAGGTGGGCAGTGGAATCACTGAGCTAAGCCCCTGGCCCTCACTTAGCATTTTAAAGGATATAGTTCAGTCACATCGAGTGCATTCACATGGTTGCTCAGGCATCACCCCACTCGTCTCCAGAACTTTTCTCATTTTCCCAAATTGGAGCTCTCTTCCCTTTAAACATTAATTCTGTTTTCTGTTTCCTATGTTCCCTTGTGAGGACCATTCTTCGTATTTCAATGAATTTGACCACTTTAAGTACTTCATACGAATAATCAGATTCCATTTGTTTTGATTAGTTTCATTTAATTCAGTGTCTTCAAAGTTTGCGTTGTAGTAGGTGTTAGAATTTTTGTCCTTTTTAAGGCTGAGTAATACTCCATTGCATGTGTATACCACTTGTATTAATCCATTCATCTGTCAGTGAACACATGGGTTTCTTCTGCCATTTGCTAGGAATGTAGATGTACAGACAGCACTTGGGTACAGAAGTGAAATTTTTGGATTCTATGGCAATTCTTTGATTCTTTGAAGAACTTTTCCAGAGTGTCTGTGCCACATCTGACGGTGTACAAGCGTTCCATTTCCCTTGTCGTCCCCTGCGCACCCCCACCCCGGGGATGGGAAGTGTCCTGTCTCTGTGGTTTTGTTTTCCAGGCATGCTGGGCAGTTTGGCTTGCTGTGACTCTGCTGAGGGTTTCTTCATCAGTGCAGCAGTGATCATGAGGACTTCTGCCCTGTGATCCTCTTGTGGGCCTTTGTTTGGCTTCGGTGTCAGGGCTGGACAGGGCCTTACAGAATGAATTAGAAAGTGTTCCTTCATCTTCACTTTTTTAAAATGTTTGTGAAGGATTGATTACTCCTTTAAATACTTGGTAGAATTTACCATTAAAGCCCCAGGTACCAAGGTTTTCTTTGTCAGTGAGTTTTTGAATACATAATGATTCTGTCTTATTACTAGTTAGTGCTTTGTTCAGATTTTTTATTTCTTTATGGTTCAGTCTTCACAGGTTTTGTGTTTCTGAGAATTTGTCCATTTTATCTGTGTTATACAGTTGTTTTTTCTTCTGCTAGATTTGAGTGTAATTCTTTTTTTCCTCCTAGTGCTTAGATGTAAATTTAGGTGTTGCTGTTTAGAGCTGTAGACTTCTAGTTTAGTACTTTTTCTATGGCTCATTGTTTTTGCTGTCATGCTTTTGTCTATACAAATTTGTAATTTTCTCTTGTGATTTCTTTTTGACTCAGTGACTAAGGATGTGGTGTTTAATTTTCATAAATTTATGAATTTTCCATTTTTTTCTTGTTAGTTCCTTACTTTTTGTTTTAGGGTTAAAAAAGAGATTTTGTGTGATAGAAATTTTTTTTTTTTGGGACCGGGGATCGAACTCAGGTCCTTGTGCTTACAAAGCAGGCACTGGAACCACAAAGCTAAATAAATCCCCAGCCTGTGATATAAATTATTTAAATTCTTTTGAAACTTGATTTGTGGCCTAATATGTGGTCTGTCCTGGAGAATGTCTCTTGTACCTTTGGGAAAAACACCTATTTTGTTCTTGGGTACAGTGTTCTGTATATATATCTCTCAGATCTAGCTTGTTTATTTTGTTTAAGTGTTCTTCGTTTGGGTTATTATTTATTTGTTTATTGGAGCCAGGGATTGAACTCATGACCTTGAGCTTATGAGGCAGCCACAGAGCCACTGAGCTAAATCCCTGGCCCTGTTATATCCTTATTGACAACAGAGTACTGAGGTCTCTCAGCTATTATTGTAGGGCTGTTTTTTTTTTTTTTTTTTTTTTAATTGGTTAACTTTTGCTTTTGACAGTCTGTTATTAGGTGTGTAAAAGTTTGTAATTGCTCTTCCTTCTTCCTCTGTGAACTACTTACTAATGTATAATGTACTTTGTCTGTGGTAACCCTGTTTTGGTATTAGTATAGACATCTCTGTTCTCTTTTAGTTACTGTTTGCATGAATATGTTTTGTCATTCTTTGAATTTGAACTCATTTGTCTTTTTTTTTTCTTTTCTTTTTTGGTACTGGGGATTGAACTCGGGACCTTTTTTTTGCAAGGCAGGCGAACTGCTGAGCTAAATCCCCGGCCCAGAACTCATTTGTCTTTTATTTTTGTGGCACTCAGGATGGAACTTGGGTGAATCATCCCCCACTTCCCATTTTGCAGTGCTGGGGTTCATACATCTATGAAACTCCCCCCACCCTTTTTTTTTTTCTGTATCAGGAATCAAACTCAGGACCTTTTGCTTGCCAGGAAGGCACAGTGCCACTGAACCTGGCTCTCATATATTCCTTTTGATTGGCAAATTTCATTCATTTACATTTAAACTAATTACTGATAAGGGATTTCTCTTTTCTGGTGTTTTCTATTTGTTGCTTTTTTGTTCCTCATTTCTTACACATTTTAGGTGTTATAGGGGTAATAGCTGACTGGACTTTGGTAGGTGGTATGATGAAAAATATGGTGAAAGTTTAGAATGCTTTTTTTTTTTTAATACCAGGGATTGAACTCAGGACCTTGCACTTGTGAGGCAGGCAGCTGAACCACTGAGCTGAATTCGTGGTCTCTGTGAAAGTTTAAATTAAAAAAAAATTTATTACAGTTGTACATTGTCATTAGTCCCCCTGAAAGTACTTTTCTTTGCTTCAGACACGCTTATTATTCTTGGTACTTTCTGAAGCAATTCTGAACACATGTAGTCCAAAAGAAAGATAACTAAATTCTCAGCAACAGAGATCCTCAGCCTAGCAGTTTTTTTTTTTTTTTTTTCTTTTTAGTACCAGGGATTGAACCGCTGAGCCAGATCCCTGCCCTAGCATTTAAACTAGCAGTGAAACTTACACCTTGGAGATGGCTTACACTGCATTAACTTTGTCCACATTATTACATTAAGGTAGGTATTATCATCAAGTTACCTTACTCATGTAACGTTCAGTGATTATGTTATAAATGCTTCAGTCCAATCTGCAAATTTATTTCACCCATGTATTGTGATTAACTTTATGAAAGAGTAAAGCTATAAAGTTCACATTTTATATCCTTTCTGCTCATGTACTCTTAATAAAAACAAACAAGACTGAGTGGTTCACACACAATCCACAAAACTTGTTCAGACATATATATACAAAATGTCTAATTTGTTTAGGCACATGGAATTTTAAATGCTTTTTTAAAATTTGGTACCGGGGATTGAACTCGGGTCCTTGCGCTTGCAAGGCAGGCCACCAAACTGCTGAGCTAAATCCCCAGCCCTGATGACATTTTAATTTTATAACAAATAAGTAGTATTTTACTGTTTGGGGATCAGAAACCCATTAGTCTTCAAAATAACTAAATAACTTATTTAAAATAACTCTTCTCCCCAACTTAGATTACAACTATTTTTAGACTTAAATTCCAAACTTTCTCTCTTTACAGATGATAAATGAGATTAAAATTCTTACTTTGAAACATTTTCTCTGTCTCGAAGCTATGACTGTGACCCATTAAAAAAAAACTACATGTGTTCATTTTCCTCCCTCAGAATTTCTCAGTTTTTACCTTTAATGATGTTACCAAGGTTATGAGCATCTTCTTTGGGATGTTTCTTATTAAATAACCAGAATTTGACTGGGTGTGGTGTTACATGCTTGTAACACTAGCACTTGGAAGGCTGAGGCAGGAGGGTCACAAGTTTGAGTATAGCCTCAACAATTAGCAACTTAGCAATACCTGGTAAAAACTAAAACAAACAACTGGGGATGTAGCTCAGTGGGAAGGCCCTGGGTTCAGTCTCCAGCATCACAGAGCAAGCAAAAGAAGATTTGTAATTTTCTATTATATAGACAAAGCCAGTGTGGAAGAATAGTAGCTCCCTTTGAATATGTTCTCCAAAAGTAATTTCCTTCTAAAGTATAAAACATTTAGAAAAAGCTGACAAAAGATGATGTCTTTTCAGTGTACTTATTTTCTTGACCTCCCTGATTGAGTCATTCACCTAGATCTTCTCCAACTGCATTCTTTCTATCAGTTGTCTACATTCAGTAAAGATTGTCACTGCTTATTAGATTAATGCTTCACAGACATTTTTAAACTGTGGAAACTTTGTCTGATGACATCTTGCAGAGGTCCACTTGTAAACAGCCTGGAATGAAATAGTGGGGTTGTTCTACTTGAGTGGGAACTGGACCAAGATGTTTAAGCAAGGAAAGTCCTCAGACTACTTAAAAAGCTTTGGAATGGAGTTTGAAGTGTGAGCTGCATGTGCTTCTTTTCATTCATTTCATTTGTTTTTTGAGAGAGTGTCTCACTACGTAGCACAGGCTGGTCTTGAACTCACCATGATCCTCCTGCCTTATTTTGCTGAGGGCTCGGTTACAGTTATGTTGCACCCTGCCTGGCTATCTTTTAATTTATTTAAGCAGTTTCTCTGACTTTGAAAAAAATCTTTGAGCTGGGCAAAATGATGCATACCTGCAGCTACTCCGAGGTTGAGGCAGGAAGATCACTTTTGCCCAGGAATTTGAGGCCAGTCTGCACGTAGCATCTAGATCCTGTGTCAGGGAGAAAAACAAAGTTTGAAAGCATGTATTTGTGCATTATTTATATACTTAGAATATACATCTTTAGCTTTAGGGTTTTTCTGATTTTCTTCTATGGCTTTTTTTGCAGAAATAAGATAGCTTAGTTATATGAAATTCTGATACCCTTTGTGTGATTATGTATTTACTGCCTGGCTTAAATTTAGTATTTAGTCAGCTAGAACAGAAGATTTCAAGTTTTAAATTTTGTGCTCTGTAAGTAGCTCTAGTTGAGAACAAATTATCAGGGTAATATCAAAATTGAAGAAGATCCCCTAAATTAATTCTCTTTATGCACAAAGGTAGACAAAGCAATTTGCTCTTTTTTTTTTTTTTTTTTTTTGGTACTGGGGCTAGAACTTGGGACCTTGTGCTTGCAAGGCAGGTGGCACCACTGAGCTAAATCCCAGGCAACTTGCTCTTTTCTAAGGTGTATGCTATAGAACTGCTAGATATTGCTTTTAGGATTTTCTATTGATAAGACTGAGTCTCCACATTTAATCTCAATCTAATCTGTTTTTAAATATATAAAAGTCAACCCTTACCCACGTAAAGTGTGCTTTGACCCATCACTGCAGGTTTTAGAACAGTTTTATGACTTCTGAAATAAACTGCATGCTGTTGTTGGGTAATTCCATTAAAAATGGCTTGGCAAACAAAGTATTACAGGTCCTCATCTCAAAGAAGTGGGGGAACCAAACAGAAATTGTTGCCAAAAATTTACTGAAAAATGAGGAGTGAAGGGGCAAGGGAAAAACTGGCTCTACAGAGCAAACTTGGGCCAAACAAAAGGCAAAAATAAAAGTACTCCTTGGGCCTAGGAGACCTAGAATGTGCTACTCTGAAGAGTCACAAGAGCAAGCTCTTACTGGTGTCCTGTCTCCTAGAAGCTGCTGAGAAGTTCCATGTGTGGGTCCTGGCAGACCTGGGTCTCCAACTGACAGGCCTCACCCACCTCTCCAGCCAGCTGTGCCCTGTCCCACCTCATATAGCAGCACCTCTTAGCCCTCACCTTCCCACATCCCTGGCTTCCCAGTCCTCAGCCTAACCTACTTCCAGTTTCTGTAGATTTATCTATTCTGGATATTTCATGCACATTGACTTGAGATGGGCTCTTGCTATGCAGTTCAGGATGGCCTTGAACTCATTGTGTAGCCCTGCTGGCCTGGAACTCAGGGCAGTCCTCCTGCCTCAGCCTCCCCAGTGCTGGGATTATAGGCATGAGCCACCATGTCTGCGGTTACTGACTTTTTACAACATAATGTTTTCAAGGTTCATAGAGATAGTGTACATCCTCTTCCTTCCTCCTTTTCCCACTTCCCCCTGCCCCTCTTCCTTTTTTTGTACCTGGGATGGAACTCAGGACCTTGTACTTGTGATGCAGGTTTGCACCACTGAGCTAAATCCTCAGCCCTGATACCTTATTTTCTTTTGTTTGTTTATTTGTTTTTGAGCCAGGGTCTCATTATGTAGCCCAGGTTGGCCTTGAACTTGTGCTCCTCCTGCCTCAGCCTCCTGAGTGCTGGGATTACCACCACTCTTGGTATAGTACTTCTTTTCTTTATATCACTGAGTAATGTTCCATTGTAAGGATATACGTACTTTTATTTACCATACATCAGGGGATGTACATTGAGGTTGTTTCCACGTTTTGGCCCTTCTGCATAAAGCTGCTACTGCATACATTCGTGCAGTTTCCTGTGGATGTAAGTTTTAAAGTTTGGGGGGTATTTATACCTAGAGATGAAATAGCTGAGTCATATGGTCACTTTATATTTAGCCTTTTGAGGAACTGCTCTACTGTTTCCTAACATACTGTTTTTACAGTCTCATCAGCAAAATGTAAGGGTTGTAATTTCTCAGTATCCTTGATAACACTTATTATTGTCTTTTTAAAAAAATTCTAGTAGTTGTAAAGTGGTCTGTCATTGTAGGTTAAATTTGAAAATAGACGTTAGGCATAACAGTAATGGTAGTACTCTTAAGACGAGTTAATACTACAGCTAAAATAGTTAATAGGCTAATGTAAGAATATAACTGTTAGTGTAAGACTTAAAGTCTCACTTCCACTCCATGGAGCGTGAACAGCCAAAAAGGCTTCCATGATGCTGGGTCCTAACACCCAGCGAGGCTCCGAGAGCTCGACAGAGAAACAAGAAACCCAAGAAGGAACACACCAGGTTAGATGGTAAATAGACCTTTATTAGTCTGGCTAGACGGCGCTCCCGGAGCCAGGTGGCTTACAGAGGCGACTGCTCAGGGGCTGAGGTCCTTTTTATAAGGTTTTTCTAAACAAAGAGTGAGAACAAGACCCCAGACGCATTGCTTATCTTATGCAGGAAATGTTCTACGGTCAAGTTAGCAATTAGCATATGAAGAGCACACTTTGTGAAGACCAGTGGAGAGGATCGTAAGCACAGTAAGTGGGCAAGGGGTGAGTTTCCTGCTGTCCCTTAGGGGTCTGGTTTATGACATGTCTGGCATCCTGCGTTGGTCACTCGCAGACCCAGGATGCCCTGTCTGGATCAAAGTCCTAAGACATTACCTCTGTTTACTCGTACCAGGTTTACACACACTTCCTTCTCATTTTATCTGTAGATGTGTAGGACCCCAACCGCTGTGTAGCCCCTAGACAGTCAGCATATAACAAAGTACATTCCATTCTGCTCTGCTCCCTTCCATCTACAGAAAAGAGAGGTTATTAGAGAAAAGCAAAGGAATTGGAAGAGGAAGGAAATTGTGTGTGTGTGTGTGTGTGTGTGTGTGTGTGTGTGTGTGTGTGTGTTTTAAAGCTTTCAAGCTCCTCAAGTACAGGAAGGCACTGCAGGTGGAGATTGAGATGGAGAATTTTGTGCTAATAGTGTATGCCAATTCCACCATATTAATAAGTTTTTTAAGACTGAAGATTTTCTTTTTTTCTTATAGTATTTGTCAAACAGTGGTAAAAGGCAGGGAAGTAGCTTTAAGGAAGCACAGACAAAAGAGGGTCAAAATCTGCCTCCCAGGGGCTGGGATTTGCATAGCTAATAATGTAGGCGGTTCTGGTGTGACTTACTGTTGTGCTTGATCTCAGGTCTGGTTGTTTGAGGTTTTGGGAGAGTATCATCACTTGAGGGAGCAATTTGGTTTCCATCATGAGATGAAGGCTCCTGCTTTGGGCAGGTGTCACCTCATCATGGGGTGGTCTGTAAGACTGTTTTTCCTGAAATCTGAGGTGACTGCAGGGCTAGGACAATGACTGGAGACTTCTGGGGAGTTGCTCCAGGGTGCCTGGAACTCTATGTTGTAAAAGTTGGCGAGTGAATGTTTGTCCTTGTAAGTCTGGAAAATTACTGTAGTTATTCTTACCTTGATATCCTCAATCTTGAAAGGGGGATGAGATGGGCAAGGTAAATTGAGAGTCACTTTTGTTCTGAAAGTGATTATAATGTCTACTTGCAGAGCTGAGCACAGAGACCAGTCTCCATCCTGGCCTCTAGGTTCCCATTACAAAAAGGTGTTTTTTTTCCTCCCTCTGGATATATGTATAATGGTTCTTAATTAAGTTGAAAATTAGAAAAAGTCCCTTGGTCTTTGTAGTCATTTTAAAAAATAAGAATAGTTTAAAATTTCTCAATGATTTTAGAAAAACATCATGTAATTTTTACATAATCCATAATCCTTTTTGAGTTAATGATAAAATTGAAAAAAGCTTTTTTTTTTATGTATTTTGTTGAAAAGTTTGTTATTGGAGAAAAGCATCCAAAATATGTGTAACTTCTTGTTTTTTTTTTTCTTTTTATTGAGTTTGTTGGTACAATCTAGGTGTACAATACAGTTACATTCATTATTGGGATCCTGTACCTTTACATGATAGGTCTTGATTTTTATTTTTCCCCTTCTCCCTGCCCTCCCTTCACCCCCTCCTCCCCTAGAATATGTGTAACTTCTGAATCTATTAAGTGAAATGATTTGACAGCCGCTTTTTAGCTTGTTTTCCTTTATAGTAATATTACTAAATATTATATAAACATATCGTTAGTTTTGCAGTCATTTCATTTTCTGGTGTTGCTACAACATTGTGCTTTAGTAAGCTATTAGTGTGTACAATTGAAAGTTATTCAGGTTATTTTTATGTAAATAGTAGCAAAGTAGGTAGGAAATTATAAAAAGTGTATGACTTAAGATGTAAGGTTGTTTAAAGTATATAGTGAATATTTCCCAAAGATGAAAATTTTTTACTGAAGGAGAATGTTGGACTTACAAATACCCTAAATACAGGATGCTATGTTTGCTTTGTATATTTTAAGTAAGAATGTTAGAAGAAATCAACCAGTCAAAAATGCTGGCAGGGCTGTGGGGAAAGAGGAACCCTTCTCCACTGTTGGTGGGAGTGCAGACTGGTGCATCCACTGTGAAAATCAGTATGCAGATACCTCAGAAAACTAGGATTAGAGGTCCCATTTGACCCAGCTACTGGGTCAAAGTGAAATAAATAGGACACAGTTGTGTAAAGACCAAATAGTTTCTCTGGTGTGAGAAACAAAGTGTAAGTAAGGAGGATCAAAATGTATAATAGGTAGTGTGAACTAGGATGAAAAGGTGCAAAGGGGAAGGGGATGTGAGGGGTGGGGAAAGGAAAGAAGGGAAAGGAATAAATATGAGAAAGGAAGAAAAAAGAATTTAAAAATAGAAAAGATGATTTGAACTATCTCAAAAGAACTTTTCTGCACTGTGACCATAAACTGTTGTTTGATTTCAGCATTTCTTTTCTTCCAGGATTTGTGTAACATTTTTGTAGTTGATTGTAAATGTTTTATTTATTTATTTTTTTGATATTGGGAGTTGAACTGAGGACCTTGCACTTGCCAGGCAGGCACTGCACCCCTGAGCTAAATCCCCAGCCTGAAATGACCCGATAGAAGCACATAAGACTCATTCTCTTGTAGTTTCCCATGTGATACTGTATTTCCTGTAATGACATCTAATATACAGAAAATGGGATTCTGTATTTAATATCATTCATTTTTATTTTTTAGATTATCCGCATCATGGTGAAATGAAGTAATGCAAGATGAGCAAGTTAAAAGTGATATCAGAGAAAAGGTACCATAATTCTAAATATTAATTTGTGTAGAGAAATAATACATGATAGAATTACTTGAAATGGATTACTTTAAGAAATATGTTTATATTTTATTAATATTTAATATATGAGTCAGTAAACTAACTGATGGGCCATATATGCCAACCTGTGGTTTTTGTATAGACAACAGCCCTAAAGGTTGTTACATTGTTTTTTAAAAAAATCAAAATTATAATACAGTGGACTCTTGAGTTACAACTGGCACATATGAACAACTTGGGTTATAACTGGAATTTTAGTTTTAAACTTATGTCCAAAGTCTTGAGTTAGGACCCAAATGCTGATCTTTCCTGTGTGAGGTTTATTGAGAAATCCTGGATCAGTGTCTAAGGACCCTGAAATCTGCTTGGGAGAAAGTGCAGCCTCAACTCAGGCAGGAGAGAATTTGAAGGCTGTGTGGAGGAGTCTGATCCTTCACCTGGCCCCATGGTGATGACCCCGTCACCACAGCAGGGTCCGTGGCTCGCAGGTGGACCGTGGTGATGCTGAGGGGCTGGTGGAGGAGGAGCTGTCAGAGGAGCTGTCTGTGGAGGAGCTTCAGCAGCTTCTGGCTGAGCCACACAGAAGGGCAGCTGAGGAGCTTTCTGAGGGGAGGGAGAGTATCAGTAATCAGTGCCGCAGAGTTCTTCTGCATTAAAGGAAAGCCTGAAGAAATGGACACAGCTACAAACGTCTGTAGAGAAGACACACCCAGGCCAGTTTTTGCATTCAGTTGCTTAGTGACGATGTCGTGTCATACTCAGAACAGGGTTAAAGAAGAGACAGAAACAGACAGCCACAGACCAGGTTAAGACCACAGACCAGAAAAGATTGAGACCTAGTGAGCCAGAGCAGGTCCTAGTGGGCTACAGACTCTCCCGAGGAGAGAAAGGACACCAGAGAGTCAGATTCCTCATGTTCTTATGGAAAGGACTCTCCTTCCAAACAGTAACCACCTTCCATTTCTTCCTCCCTTCCTGTAAGTTAAAGATGTCAACTTGAATGGTCAGTACAGTATAAATTGTTGTTTCTGGTAAACCAGGCACATTTTATAACTTTTTGGTGAATACACTAGGAAAATTATTGGTGTGTCTGGTAAATTATGCACATTATACAACCCTTTTTTATTATGAAAAGGTTAAGGAGTGGTTTGGGAGGTTCAGAATGTATTATGGGTATTTCCAGTATTTCTTATGGGAAAAATAGTCTTGACTTAAAACCAGAATTGAGTTCATAAAGTCAAGGATCCATTGTAATATTGTGTATCACATGAAACTCAAATTTTAGTGTACACAATTAAAGTTTTATTGGGCCACAATTATGCCCATTTATTTTCATATTGTTTGTGGCCATTTTTATACTCTAGTTACAAAACTGAGCAGTGACATAGGCAGTATAACCTACAGTGCCTAAAATACATGGTTCAGTTTAATCCCAAAATGCAGTTTTTACTGCTGCTGAGTGCTGTCCAACAGAAAGAGATCTTCAGTACTACAAGTAGCAAGTTGACCTTAGTTACAGTGTGTGGCAAGTTTCATTTTGTTCAGTGCAGTCATTCACTTGGGCCCTGTGGTTGAGAGAATGTGTGCTCTAAACTTTGCCATGTATTGTGGACCATGAACAATGCATTTACATGAACTTTTGTCCGTTTCATTGGAATTGCCTGATTGTGGTGCTTCTTATTCCGGCTTTTAAAGGAATACCATGAGAGGTGAAACTTGGGCCTGTGGTGTGATCTGAGACTAAGGTTCAGAGTTCTGGATGGAGTCCTCCCAGTTCATATCTAGCTAGTGCTGACTATATTTTTTGACCTTGCTGGAATTGTGTGAGCTAAGCTTGTGTCCGGGAACAGTAAACTCCAAATGTTACAGGGCTTATTAGAGTATTTAAAAACAACGTGCATAGACTATGGCCTGGTGGTTTCATCTTCCATCGTGAGTAATGCTCCATGTCACACATGCTTCTGGTAAGGCAATTTTGGTGTTTTTTTGTTGTTGTTTTTTTGGTACTGGGAATCAAACTCAGCACCTTGCTCTTGTGAGGCAGCCATAGTGCCACTGAGCTAATTTCCTGGCCCTGGTAAGGCAGTTTTTGTCCAATAAAAACGTTACTGTGTGTCCTCATCCACCTATTTATTGTCTCTGGCACTGTAAAACTTCTGGCTTTTCCCCAAGTCAAAATGATCCTGAAAGGTAAGCATTTTCAATCAGTTTTAGCACCTTGAGGCAGCCAACACAGCACAACTAAAGACACTGAAAAAGTGACTTCCAGAATTGCTATGGAAAATAGGAAAGAACAGTGGGACAAATGTTCTTGAAGTGAGGAGCGAGTATTTTGGGGGAGATTGGTAGCAGGGAATCAGTCAGTTATTGACTGATGGGTGAAGACAGGGTCTCACTATGTAACCCAGGCTGGCCTCAGACTCGTGCTGATCTTCCTGCCTCAGCCTCCCGAGTGCTCGGATTATAGGCATGTGCCCCCACACCTACCTATTTATTTATTTATTGGTTAGTTGGTTGGTTGGTTGTTTTGAGACAGTTTAGATTGGCCTTGAACTCCCTGTTTAGTTCAGGCTGCCCTTGAATTTGGCAGTGATCCTCCTACCTTAGCCTCCTAAGTACTGGGATTATAGTTGTATGCCACTGTGCCTGGTTTGTGTTTTTAGTATAATAAATGTTTTAAAATATAAACATTTACCATATATTTTGTTCACACTGTGTGTGTGCTATCTGGCCTTTAACAGAAGTTTACCTGCCCTTTTGAGTTAAACACGCTGTAGTAAATGTGACTGATAGATTTTTTATTAGCTATACAGCCTTGAGCAGATTGCTAAATTCTCATATGTCTTATTTTTCTCAAATGTAAAATTAGTGATAATAATATTACAAGGTTGCAAAGATTAAGCAGTACCTGGATGGCTTGGTAAATGATGGCTTATTATTATTGATAATAATCAAAAGTTTCTACTTTGTTAGCAGTGATGTATTTTATGTTTGCAGGTCCACCTCTTTACTTTCATAGGTATCCTTTACTCAAGTCTGTCATATATTTATGTATACAGATTACTTAGAGTTTATTCTTTTTATTGCTAGGTTTTCCAATTATTAACTGTGTAATGCACCATAACAAACTATATTGTTCACATGCTTCTATAGTTTCAATAGGAAAGGAATTTGATATGTTTTGTGCTGTAAGAAGGAATAGCAGCCTGACTTTTTGATCAGGTCAAATGCGTTCCACTGATTAACTGTCTAGTTACTACAACACTGCTCATAAGAATGTGACGTTGCTTCAGGTTTGAAAACCTCTGGCTCCTAAGGTGGGTTGTCCTTTTTCCTCTTCAAATAGATTTCACTGAATTTTTATTTTTGTTGTTGTTTTAGGCAAATTAGTATCACTGCAGTTGATCTGCATACTGGAAATACTAACTCAGACATTTCATTCTCTACTTGTAATTACTCAGTGAAGAAAGCTCAATGGAGTAACCTTGCGATAGATGGAAATGTGTGAAAATCTTTCTTTTCTTGATTTATAGTAGAGTCAGCCCTCTGTATCCATAGGTCCACATCAGTTGATTCAATAATGGATTGGAAATATTTGAAAAAAAATGGTGTTTGTTTTGAACATGTACAAACTTATTATTCCCTAAAAAATATAGTGTAAAAACCATACAGCATTTACATAAGTTATTCTAAGTCATCTAGGGATCATATGGGAAGATGTGTGATCTTTTATTTTTACTGATATTGAGCTACTGTGTGTAGATAGGGAGAGGACGTGTCTAGGTTATATGCAAATACTGTGCCATTTTGTATGAGGGACCTGAATATCTAGGGATTTTGGTATCTTGGGGGGGTGTCCTGGAATCTCCCCCACCAAGCTGCCCACAGATAAAGGCTAAAGCCATTGTTTTTCTCTTGGGCCTACAAATGTCCAATATTTAACTAAAAGTAGAACAAAGTTTGACCTTCATTTTATGCAGCTCTGGTCAGATCGTCTTAGCTCTGCCTTACATGTGTGTTAGTCATTTAGGGAGTGTCTGTAAAAGTTGGCAAAAACAGGATTATTAGCCCTAAAGTTACCTAGCCTATTTGCATGTGTTTTTAAGTTTTTATATCATTATATGTTTGTGATACAAAATACTTAATATTTGTTTTGGGGAATTTGTAGATAACTGTCCATCTAGTACTGATAATTTTTGATTTTCTCTTCTCTCTCTCTCTTTTTTTTTGTGGCAGAGTCTCCATTTGTAGTTCAGTCTGGCCCTGAACTCACTAAGTAGCCCAGGATGGCGTTGAACTTATGGAGATCCTCCTGCCTCAACCCCAAGTGCTGGGGTTACAGGTGTTGCGCCACCATGCCCAGTTGTAATCTTTTCTCCCCCTGCCCCACATCCCCATCTCCAGAAAGTTTGCTTCCCTGTTTTTTACCATCTCTCCTTTATTTTGCTCTTTATTTATATTATGGGTTTTCCATATAAGATAAACCATAGATAAAGATGTATTTTACTAAGCATTATAGTATCAAATCTGTATCAATCAATGCTTACTAGAGAAATAGATTTAATGCAAGATATACATAACAATTTACAAAATTGGCTTACAATGGCCGCCCAGAGTTAGGTGTAGAAAATGCAAAATGTCTGTCTGCATGCTGGAGATCCAAAGGATCCAGTGGAAGGCCTGGAGCTCAGTGTAGTGTCCTGTGTGAGTCCATGTCAGGAAGCCAAAGGGTCTGTGCTGGAGGCCAAGGGACAACATCCAGGGTGAAAATGAAGACCTGAGCTCCTTAGAAGAAACAGGAGTGAGCCTCCTCCTTCATTTCCCTTTTGTGCCATTTAGATGGCAAGCCTATTGGTTGCTGTCACTCATACTCAGTAAATCCCAGCGGATCTTCAGTGAATCCCCTCAGCCACAATTTAGTTGGACATTTCCTACTCAAGTTGACATAATAATTTAGTTATCACAATGACTCATCCATT